TTAGCGTGCTGCGCTAAAGCGCTGCGAACCCGGTCGCCACAGTTCAATTGCCGCTCACGGCCAACAACGGTCACGATTATTCTGAACCGGTCCTGGGCGTCCTCTAGGTCGGCTCAGCCTCAAACCAAATAAGTCCTTGGTTGCGGTGGGTAAACATCGCCACTGGGGAGACAAATGCGACCGGGCGTGGTGCTGGCCACCCATCCCCTCGCCTGCCGTGTCGGCGTCATAGGTGCTTGGTGACAGCACTTGCCCCAACAGTCTCGTCAGGCTATACGGGGGATCTTTGTTTTTGTTTCAGCCGCGGGGATCGGTGGCGCAGTGGTTAGCGCGCTGAGCTACTAATCTGGCCACCCGAGTTTGATTCACGCTCACGGCCACCAACACCAGTGACGAATATCTGAACCAATTATGGGTCTCCCCTAGGTCGACTCAGCCTAAAACGAGTACCCGATGTGGTGTGTATTGACACAAAGGAGACAAAGGCGGCCGGGCGTGGACCAGGCCACCCATCTCACTCGTAGGCCATGACGATCTTCATCGTTGCTCGCGAATAGCACTCGCCCCAAAAGTCGTTTAAGTCTTCACGGGGGCATCTTTGTCTTTGCCATCCAAAAAAGAGCCGTGGCGCAGCGGTTAGCGCGCACTGCGCTACCAAAACCGGCCACCCGAGTTCGATTCCCGCTCACGGCCACCCAACATCGGTGACGAATATCGACCCCGGGTCTCCTCCCCTAGGTCGACTCGGCCTCAAGCGAGAGTTACCCCGGCGCGGTGTGTAAATATCGCCACTTAGGAAGGCAAAGTCGGCCGAGCTCGCTAACAGCCACTTTCTCCAACAGTCCGTTGAGGCTATACGGGGGATTCTTTGTTTTTGTGTGCCTGCCAAGCAGGTGGGCCAGGTGGCCTTTTCGTGGTTACAAATTACCTCCCCTACCCACCGCGCCCTCCTCTTTTCCATCCCCCTGCACCAAACCCTCTCCTACCCGTACATTTGTTGATAATACACACACACAGAGCGGCGATTACACATGCAACGCGACTCCCTACGGTTGAGCACTTTCGCAATGATTACCGCCTTTTAATGATAAACCATAGAAGCTCGGGTTTGTTTCCCAAAAAAAATCTGCAAATATAAACTATATATTACTACGTATCTTAAATGGTGCTCATTGCTGCTGGCCGTTCGTTTATAATTAAAATAATATAGAGTTTAGCAGATTTTAGCAGTATGTATTCTTGTCGCAACAGTAGCTTTCGAATGTGTAAATGTGCTTATATCTCTGCGATGTATCCTGCGCGCATTGACTAATTGTATTAATCAATCGTTAATTATTTTAATGTATTAACGTGCGCGCGTGTGTGCTGGCAATTAGGGGAGCGGTCGTGTGGCTGTCAGCGTGCTGCGCTACGAATCCAGTGACCCGGGTTCGATTCCCGCTCACAGCCACCACAAGTGACAATTATTTTTACCGGTCCTAGGTCTCCCCTAGGTCGACTCAGCCTCAAATGAGTACCTGGTGCGGTGTGTAAAACATTGCCACTCGGGAGACAAAGGCGTGTGACGTGCCGCCCTTCATAGCTACTCGCTAACAGCACTTCACCCCAACAGTCTGTCAACGCCACGCGGGGAGATCTTTGTCTTTGCTGGCCAATTAACCATCGACTGTACTGTATTGGCATACATCTGAACCGACCACTGCGCGCTCTACAACGCTCTGTGTACGGGCGATCCTCATTAGACGCGTGTTCGCGTGGACAAACCGAAGTGGCATCGTCGGAGTAATTGAGTAATCACCGTTGTCAGAGGCACACGGAGGGGAAACAAGCAAAGTCGCAAGCACACGCGACGATAACAGTCATCTTTTTTGGCGAATTTTGCGACTGAATTCTCAAGAGTTAAAGGGAGGGCGGCGATATTCTCCAAACCCGGTCATTTTCAGCGCGATCATTATTATTCTGACAGGTTGTGATTTCTAGAGCATGCGGTGGCGGTGGGAGCTTCGACAATCCGCGCGTACAAATAACAGAGGGAATGCTTATCCCCCCCCACCATCCCTACACTCACAAGCTACACACGTGCATCCATCGTACATTAGTACGTATTAGGGCGAGCGTTATCGATTGTGGTCGAATGCGTGCCCTTCTTATAATTACTTTAGCCCATAGGCCGCAATTATTTAAAACATTAATTTATTTTTTACATCCAGCACCATTATGGGAAAAGTATCAGCAATCGATAAACGTACTTCATCCAACCACCAGAAATCATATTTTTTAAAGTCAATCGTCACTTTTTGCAGCCGAGGGAAGGCTGTAAAACCACAATCTGGTGGCTTGTTCTTCACAAGTCAACCTCAACTTTGGGGTTGTGTGGGATTTATGTAACACTTTCACAAGATCGACGACTGGTTTTTCTAACGACGCCGCCGTGTTTTCGAGTCTCCGCTACGTTATACTCTACTCTCTCTCTCGCGTTCACGATGCGCTTTTGGGCAATCGCCACGAATAGATGAAATCACTGTAAAGTACACATTCTTGAGTGAATCATTTGCTCTAAGAATCGAACTCGGCGCCTAGCGCTGACCACAGCAGTTGCCTTGCCTAGAAGCTGCCCATCAAACATAGTGAGTGGCGCGTTCACGATGTGACTCTACAGCACCAAACGTCTTCACCCCCCCCCCCCCCCCCCCCGTTTTATCTATGGATGTTCAATAGCCCACGTTTAAACACTCTGGTCTCTGTGTGTATGTGCCATGGGAAAGGGCCATTTGCTAAAGCGTCGCCGATTTTTGTTGTATGGCAGTGTTATTGACGAATGTATTGGGTGTGTGTTTGTTAATTGTGCTTTATGCACTTGCCAACGCAGCATCAGCAAATGCGTTTTTTTTTGTTACAACACGGGATAAATAGAATCTTTTTTTATCAGGATTAGGTTAGCGAGCGCTCGGCTACATGAGTATAAAAATTGCACAGTAAGCTACATACATAATTGGCTCGTAAATTACCGCATTGGGCAATGGTCCTTTATCAATAACCTGCAGTAGGCTACTGCCCCAACCACGGTCCTTTGAAATGTAACATTGTAATAAGCAAGGGTTACACAATGTAACGGTGCCTGTTGTCTCCTCGCTGTCACCGACCGTATCGTGGGTCGCCAGCACCAAGCTGCGCAATTGAACCCTTTCATTCCATCCTCTCCCGCACTCGCGATCCTTCGCCACGAATGAGTTCATAGCCACGTTCAGCGGAGCGTGCCGAGAGAGAGACCGGCAGAGCGTAAGCGTTAACTGAGCATGATGATCACCATGGTCTAGCAAGCGGCACACTACAGTAATCATCATCATCACCAGCCATGGTCAATCCACTGCTGGATGAAGGCCTCCCCATGCCGCCGACGCCACCTCATTGCTCTCACGTTCCTGCGGTTGTAATAACCCACCGAGCGACACCCCGCGCATTAAGCGATGTCATCGCTCCATCGAGCCCACCACGGTGTAGGTTCTCACGAACGCACTGAACCATCATTCGTCTTCTTGGCCATTGGCCATCGTCCCTTTCGAGCGACTTGTCCTGCCCAAGCCCACTTCACTTTCCCTAACAGTTCGCACAGCCCCACACACACACACAGTACCTGCAGCGGCTACTGCAGTGCACCGCACATACCCAGAACATACGCGCGCGCACACACACAAATGCTATCGCATTGAAATGCGACCAGTGTGGGTTTGTGTTAGCGGTCGATTGTCAAGCGTATGTCCAGTATTATATGGTGTTTAAACGGCTGCTTAGGTATATATACACTATCAACATATTATCGCGTTGTTTGCCTACGGGGGTATTTTTTCTGCTTGCGAAATCTGCGGTGGTCTGAAACCATGCGTCCAGCTTACCCGGTAGTTTCCGGGCAACGAATCTCGTGATTGCGTTGGCAAACTTCCGAATAAGTATACTACTATTATACTAAACAATCTGTAGCATTTGGTAGACACTGCAATAGGAGGGAGCGGTAGCGCCGTGGGCTTGCGCGCTGCGCTAGGAGTCACGGCCACACCAAAGTTCGACTCCCGACAAGAGCTACCCACGTCAGTGGCGAGTGGCATCAGAACTAAGTCCATTCATCACCAATGCGCTCGAACCGGCGTGGTGAATAATGGTTACACAAAAAGCACGTGACCTAAAGGTTGGGGCTTCATCCAGCAGTGGATTGGCAAAATCCTTCACATTAATGGCTGTAATTGTAATTACAAGAATTACGCGATGTAATGATCGTGTTGTAGGCGAGATCGCGGCATGACTGTGAACGCAAATCTATAAGGGAAAGAGTAATAATGTGAGACTCGGGCACATCGACCATTCCCAATTGACTGCCGTTCTCAAAACTTTCTGACCGCATCCCAACAACATAATCTTGTACCGCATGTTATAGTAAGCAAACGTGCTCGCTAACGCGCGCGGGCTATACAATGCCATGCTTAATCATGTTAAAGACATCTGCACTTACAAATCCCTGATAGCATTCATTACCTCCACAGCTACGAGCGTAGCATTCGAGACACTTGTAAGGGGTTGTTTTGTTGTTGTTGTTTAAACAGCAGACATCATCCCTCCGGCTTGTCGGAGGTAGCGTGCCCGATGCGAGCACATACTATAGACACTAGTTTGTGTTGCTAACGCGTGGTGCGCATTGAACGTCAAACACACGGGGATATCTGGACGCCGAGCGAGTGTCTATAACGCACATGCAGTCTCTCCCGTCTCCGACAAGACGGTATACACACACACACACACATCCTAACCAAATGAATAAATCACAAGAATACAAATAAGAATTTTAAAAACCCCAGCCTGGCCAGCGTGCGGATGATGATCACCACCGTTGCCGCATCACACACAGTAGCCTATGTAAGCACAATGGGAGGAAAGAAATCTCACAACACACAAGCGCACATCCCTAACACTATGCGCTTGGCCAAACGGACAAACGCAATGATCGTTACCTTCCACGCCGTGGCTGGCGGGGACGAGCAGCAGCAGCAAGACGAGGAGCAAGCAATCCATGTTTTCGGAGCCCCGAACATAAAAAACCGCGTAAGAGATGAGCCCACAAACTTGACGCTCCTTCCCACTCTGCTGCATGCGCCCGTCATGAAATTCAGCGCTACTACTCGCATGCGCCGCTGGGCCAAACCACTGCGCGTCTAGCAGGGAGGGTGGGCGAGAGGGGAGGGGTTTGAGAGCGTGAGAGGGGAGGAGGGTGAGAGGGAAGGGGAGGACGGGGAGGGAATGCCGATGTGAATGACTGACTCCTTAGAAAGTGGCCAAAAGACGCCGTCGCGTTTACCAACGAGCGCTTTCGGTTAAAACACGTTCCAAAATGATCAGCGCTTGGATTCCGGGGACTATCACTTGCAAAATAAACTTCGTTTCGAAAATGTAGGCATTCGTTAAACAGAAACGTGTACACAATGTCACGCGTAGCGCTGTGCTGTTTGTGCGTGCGTGTGTGTGAGAGAGAGTGGTGAGAATTCATTTACAATAAAGGTGGTGTTGGGCTGGAGCACTCGTCTATTGCCGTATAAGGAGGCAGAGATTGTTGGAGGTAAAGAATGGACGGACTCCCCGGCAGCTGGGGAATAAGGGCAACATCTTGTGATATACGCCCAGGGTTCGAGTAATTGTTGGGAGTAATATTAGCCGCTGCCAAGTTACAATAGGGGCCATTCACTGCGAATCGGGTGGTCCGTGCTGTTCCTTAGTACCACGTTTCAGGTTTAAAGGCTCGCTCGCAAAGGCGCAATGGGGTTTCTCAACCTCCGTGTTCGGTGAGCAAACTTTCCCCAAAAAACATCTTCATAGGCGCGGCACGTGCATATTATGTTTGATCGGGATTGTCACTGCGTTGTCAGAACCTCTATCGGCCGGGCCAGAGGCAAATTGAGAACGCGAGTTTGGTTTTCAAGGGTCAGGGGAAGCTCTTGACGAATTTTGTCGAGTCGTTTTTTGTTTTTCAAAGGAGACCTCGATTACAAAGGTAGGTGTGTGATTTGGGAGAACCACGTACGTTTAAGATGAATGTGTTCGGTGTATAAAAATAAAAATGTACGGGGTGGAGCGGTGGCGCTGCGGTTAGCGCACTGGACAATAAAGCCAGAAACTTGAGTTAAACCCTCCTCTGGCCGCGGTGACAAAGCGTTGTCCAAAGCGGCCCCGATTCACCGCACCCTCTTGGCCAACTCGCACCGGTTAGGGTGAAGTATGGTCAAACAAGCCTCGTGACCGAGACGACATGGAGAGAGGACTTCAATACAGCGAATGTAAATTGACATTACAGTATTATAATTACTAAAAACAGACAGGACGGTTGTGCTCAAAACAACGACGATCGCTCACTCGTAAGGCCGCGGATTAATGGGCCGTCTCGTCGCGAGTGATTTTAATGTACGTGCAGGGTACGATTTGTTGAATTCAGGGAGCAAATTTCAGCTCGGAGCTGCGTGGGGGCTCAGCTCCGGAAAATACCTCCACCGTCTGCTTCGGTCTCACGACTAAATTGCACGCTGTAAGAAGCAACATCACATCCAGAACCGCGAGGCTGCCTGCTCTTCGTGTTACAGCATACGCATTGCTCAGCCACAACACCCCCTGGACGCACGTATGGACACACTGCAGAGGGCTTTCACGAGCCTGAAGAATACACGAAAAATTCACTTACGGGATACATGCGTTACGAGCGTGATGGATGACGCGTTGATGGCTTGATGCAAAACATTTCACATGCCACCCATGACGGGATTCACAACCCCGGGCTAAACAGTAAGTGAGCAATTGCTCAACCTTTCACAAGCTCCTCAACGTATCTGCCAAACGTGTAATTTATTCATATGTAGTATATGTCTATGGACCTACTCTGCCCAATACGCACGCGGCTCACATACTGATGCGATGCAATTCTCCTTATCCCCGAGTTGGGCAGTGGCGATGCACGTGCGGCGTACATGACGGGTGGAGGGGTGACTCGGCCGTTAAGGTCCAGTGACCCCCAAGTTCGATTCGCGACCACGACGATCATCGTGGGCGAGCGATAATCTGGTGTTCATTTTTTCACCCAAACCGCACTGATCGGCGTGCTTAAGTATAGTCACACGACCCTTATGCACACGGCGTGGGGAGGCCTTTAACCAGCTTTAGAGTGACGGGGGATGATGCATTGCACTTTATATATATACTACATTATCATCATAATCTCTGGTCAATCCACTGCTAGATGATGGCCTCTCAAAGCTGCCCGACACCTCTCACGATCCGCGATGTAACAATTAAATTAATACCTGCACACGAACTGAGTTTATGGCTCCATCTCCTCGGATGGAGGCATACCATTGCTGTATATATACACACGCACACATATCATGTATTCGCGACTAACAAGTAACAAGTCGAACGATTGCACCTACAACTAAAGGGGCACACTAGACGTGTCAGTCAAAATACTGACCACGTGCCTAATGTCACTCACAAGCGAAGGGCAATTGTCTATCACGGGGCTTTGGACGTATGGAGCTATGCGCTGGGGCATCGATGCACGACACCACACGACAGCGCGGTGAAGGCTGGGGGAGGGGGTAACGTTACACGAGAAATGTGTGCGTGGCTTCACCAATCCGTCGTATCATTTTCGCGGACTCCCGCTGACATTTCGGTGAGTGACAAGGCGGCGCTGCACCTTATGATAAGCGAGACAAATTGTGCAATTAGCACGAGAGCGTTGCATTAGCGAGCAAGGTATATTTTTTTTGTATTTGCCAAGTACTACAGTAAACACGCACGTGGGGAGGGCAGGGCTGTTTCCACGCATCAGATATTTGTTTACAGCTGTAGGTTATTTTGTTTCCCACTCACACGCCCCTTGCTTTCTGAAACACCAGCCCTGCAGCACGTGGCGCCGAACAGCGCTGCCAAAGAACTCCGCTCCACAACGCCGCGACCGCGCATCTCGACTGGCTTAGGTCGCCCCCTGCAGACCACGCCATCGACTGTGGTAGAGTTGGGAATTAGGAGAGCCGAACGTTTAAATTTTACATTAGTTTTAGCGATATATGAAGATTATATGTAGACGAATATAATATAAATGGAATTTACAAAGTTTATACCTTGCAAGCGCATTTCAATGTGCTGTCAATCATCATCAATATGGATTTCGATGTAAAGCTTTCGTGACTGCAGGGATTCATCTTCTTGGTTCTTTCGGCAAAGTCACGTAGAAGGGAAGTAATAAAATAATAAAAAATAAAACATAATAAAATAATTCTCACGACGTTTCGGCCACAACGCAAGCAGCCGTCCTCAGGTGAAGACCAGGTCTTCACCTTCTACGTGACTTTACCGAAATAACCAAGAAGATCAATGTGGATGTTGAGGATATTTAGACAGCCATCATCATCATCAATGTTCAACTCATTTCTGGATGAAGACTTCTGCCCAAGTCACGAAAACCAACCTGACTAAATTTAAATAACCAACTTCACATCCCAAATCTCGTTTAATTCGTTTAAGTTAACTATAAAACAAGACTTCAGTTTTTGTTGTGATGCATTGCAGTATTAGCACTGTTTTTGGTGGGCAGGTGGAGGGATGGTGCAATCATTTCCCCACTGCACTAGGGCCAAAACCTCGAGTTCATTTCCTGGCCAAGGTGCACAAGACAAAATGCAAATTGGTATTTAAACCTGTAGAGTACCGTACCACCCCTAGCCCCACTCAGCCGAAAATTATTACAGGATGTGGTAGTGAAGCAATGCAGCGGGACGTGTATGGTTTTGACGACGCCACCACTCCTTTGCGTGCTATTGCCACCAGCCAACTTGGGTCCTCGACTGCAGCTCTCCGAGGGGTTTCCAGGTCGTGCCGCGCGTGTCGTGCGGCACGACGTGCCACGTGCCGGTTCGAAGACACCCAACTCATCCTGCTTGAGTGCTGAACAACACCTCAGAGTCACACAGCACAACCGCGACAACCTTACACAGCGGTGTTGGGTACGCGGGGGTAGCGGTGGTGCAGTGGTTAGCGCACTGCGCTTAGGGGCCGTCCATAAATGACGTCACGCACCTGGGGGGGGAGGGGGTCAGACATTTGTGACGATGTGTGACGAGGGGGGGGGGGGTGAGAAATGTGACGTCACATCAAAATGCACAACTTTAAATAAATATAGACAACACGTTCTACTTAATTAAATGGACCTTTTGATAAATGTTTTCTCCTACAACATCAGAGTGCAGCGGCACATTAAATACGCACTACAATGACAATAGTTTAAAGCGATTTGAAGCATGTTTTATTTGGGGGGGGGGGGCAGAGCTTTGTGACGTCATATTTGAGGGGGGGTCTGACTTTTAGTGACGCCGTGTGACGAGGGGGGGGGGGTCAAAAATCGTCCAAAATCGCGTGACGTCATTTATGAACGGCCCCTTACGAACGCGGCGACCCGGTTCTGATTCCCCTCTTCACGAACAATAACAGAGGAGAACCGATCCCCACGCACCTCCGATTAGCACGGTTAGCTACGTACGGTGCGAAAAAAGTTCAACACACGTGCTAGGCTCAATGGCACTCGCTTCGGCGGTCTAAACAAATATCAAAAGTGGATTCTGCGTGAGTGCTATGCACACTTTTCGCTAAACACTTCGGGAGAAAATAATGCTACACCGGACTGTCATCATCGGAGCAGGAGCAGTTGCACAGGTGCGACGCATTACCTTCAGGGAGTTCCATTTCATGCACGGGTGAGCCGGGCACTTCAACGCACCCTTACCTCTGCACCTTCTCTTGTTTCCGGATAGGGTTTATTTTTTTTAATATTCACACAGTGTAACTTTGCGAAAGTTTACAGTACTCCGGGTGCTGTGCGGGATGACAGGTCGCATGTGTCAGTTTAACTTCAAGGTCCATCACCAGCTAAATATTAAGTGTACAACAACGTTTCATGTTGCATTCCATTCTACTGCAGTCTACATTGCCCTCTATACAAGTGCCCCCCCCCCTCTTTATTTTTTCCCTCCAGCGTGCTGAGCACAAGATAACATACAACGTGATGTTAAAGTCACACAGGACACAGTAGCGAGCTTTTCAATACGTGATGCGCAGTACAATTTCATACGTGGGCTT